CAGAGGGAGAAGCAGACTCCCCACTGAGCAGGGAGCCCAATGTGGGACTGGATCCCGGGACTCCGGGATCACGACCTGAGCCGAAGGCAGACACTTAACCGACTGAGCGACCAGGTGCCCCAGCCATCATAATTATTATCTTAGGTCTTCTGGAACTTGCATGGTCCAATACAGTAGCCACTAGCAAAGGCAGCTATTGAGTAGTTGAAATGTGACTAGTCCAAATCTATACGTAGTATAAGTACAAAATACATAAAAAGTTTTGAAGACCAAGTAAGAAAAAATAATGTAAAACCTTTAGATGTTTATACTTTATATGCTCTTCTGTAAACATTACCCCCCTCTTTTTCCATTAGGTTCTTCACAATTAGCCCTTCATGCTCTCCTCATCTACACTCATTATTTGTGTCGCCCCAAATTCATATGCTGAAGCCCTAATCCCCGATGTGACAATAAAATTCTATAATCATAAAAGTATGATTTTTTGAGCTTTGATAAATATTTACAGTCCATAGCTTGCCTTTTTTTTTTTTAATTTTATTTGAGAGAGAGAGTGCAGAGTGAGTGACAGAGAGAGAGAGCATGAGCAGGGGTGAGGGGCAGAGGGAGAGGGACAAGCAGACTCCGTGCTGGGCAGGAACCTGATGCAGGGCTCGATCCCAGGACCCTGAGATCATGACCTGAGCTGAAGGCAGATGCTTGACTGACTGACTGAGCCACCCAGGTGCCCCAGCTGCTTTGGTTATGGTTTACCTCATTAAAGACTCAAGTGAAGCCAAGCTACATTTCTGCTCTAGTAAACTAGAGAATTCTGCTCCCCATGCCCTAATAGTAAACTTCCCTTTTGCTTAAGCGGTCTGAGTGGGTATGTTATCAGCAAGCAAAAGAAGTTTAGGGCTGATGTTTCAACTCTGGTTTAAATACTTCTTACCTTATTCCCATAAATTTATTCAGACTCAATAGCTAAAATGATGCTGTACTTGGGTAATTTTTCAAAAGATCCCTCTAAAACCTCCAGAGATTAGCCATGAGCATTAGTCCTTCCTGATATTTTAATATTAGAATCATTGGATAAGCATCATATTATGATGATGGTATTTTCATTTCATTTAACCGTGGCATGAAAGATACCTTAGAGGATTTCTAATTCAAGCCCTTCACTTTCAAGGAAACTAAAGCCCAAATTGGACAAGAGCCTTGCCCAGTGCTGGAATTAGAACCTTGTTTCTGTCATTACTCAGGCCAAGGTCCTTTGCCAATAATAATTTTTTTTTAAAGTAATCTATGTGCCCAACATGTGTATCAAACTCACAACCCCCAGATCAAGAGTTGCATGCTTCACCAACTAAGCCAGCTAGGTACCCCTACCAATGAATTTTTTAGGGCCAAGATGGTATTGTCCTTTCCTCAAATTCCAAGTGAGATCACTCAACAATATTTATTGATGGCCCACTTAATTGATCAGGACTCTTAGTTGCAAGTTAAAAAAAAAAGGCTCTAGGAATACATTTCTTTCAGGTAAGGTTGTTTCAAGGCTCAATATCACTGAGTATTCTCTCTCTCCACCTCTAGGAAAGACTTTCCACAGGTTGGGAACCTGTAGACTCACATCTTACCAGCTTATCTATCCCAGCAGTACATGCTGGATTATCCTTGGACTTCTCAGTTATGTGAGCAAAAAAACTACTTTTTACCCCCTTAAGCCAATTTGAATTTGGTTTCTGTCACTGAACAAGTGTTCAGACTAAAATCACACTTATTAGGCCATGATGAAAAGGAAATTACTCTTGACATACTATCTTGGTTTCTATTCTTTTTTTTTTATAAAGATTTTATTTATTTACTTGAGAGGGAGGGAGAAAGGGAGAAAGAGAGAGAGAGAGAGCACGAGTACACATGCAGGCGGAGGGACAGAGGGAGAGGGAGAATTCCAAGCTGACTCTGCGCTAAGCCGAGTCCGATGCTGGGCTAGATCCCACGACCGAGATCATGACCTGAGTCAAAACCAAGAGTAGGATGCTCAACTAACTGAGCCACCCAGGCACCCCATATTCTTTACCTCTTCTATCTCTTCTCTACTTTTTATCTTCTTAGTCAGAACTTCTTATTCATAACTTCAGCCTATTCTTGGTTCTATCAGCATCACAGCTTGGATTACTGCATAATATCCTAAAGCTGATTTGACCCTGAAGCCCTTTTCTTAGAAACAACAAAAAGTAATTGTCAGCAAAGCCTTCTGGGCTTAACACAGAACAAGCAAGAACAGGTTTCCTCTTCCAACTTGGTAAGACTCCTTATGACATCCTAGGATCGGAAATAACCAGTTATAACTAATGTGGTGACTACATTTAAAATAGATCACATGTGGGCTTCCCTGAAGCAGGAGGCTTGACAAGACAACCACGATCCTTTCCAGGTAAGTAATCATGCCTGCAATCTTCCTCATTCTTTGTTATTTAATATCTTTGAGTCTCGATTACTGTAGCAATAAAATGAGGGAAATCACCCACATCACGGATTTGGAAGAAGAAATGAAACATGTAAAATGGCTGGTATATGGCCATTACTCAGTGAATATTAGTTCTCTTCCCTCAAATTTTAATATGTCATTTACTATATAAAGTATTACCCAAATGCCTTATAATTTATACGATGGAACAGTACTATTCCACATATGACAAACATTAAGAATGACAAGAATGAAGAATCAGGATTTTTTTTAACCTATAAAAAGTTGCTGCAGTTTTTCAAATAATTTTATTGGATTTAGAATTCTTTTAAGGGATATACAGATATACAACTAGTTTGATCAGCTACTAATATATTTTGGTATCCCTTTATTCTTGTACTCAAGAGCCAGTTCACCTTTTCTCCATGTTCAATACTTAGCTTTGGTAAAATTTTGCCATGTTCTTCTTCATCTGCTACTGGAGCATGAGTGCTTCCACCCTGCTTGGTATAAGCTGCTCTTTTAGTTTTCTTCCTGTGAGTAGGTTTTGTAGGACTCTTCTGTTTTTTTTCAACTTCACTGCTTACATCCCACAACATTATCTTCCCATCATTCCCTCCAGTAAGCAGCAAATAGGATTCTGGCAAAAAGCAGACCTGGGATACTCCCAAAGAATGGCCCTTAAATCCCAGTTCTTGTTCACACTTAACTCCCATCACCCTAAAGATTCGAACCTTACCATCTTCTGCACCACAGCTAAAAATATTGCCACATGATGCCACAGACACAGAGTGGGCTAAAGCAGGGTTTAAAAGCTGACCAGGTGATTGTGGGCTTTCCATCTCTTCTGTTTCATCTTCCTGCAAATTTGTAATCCAGAGTGGCCGTGCTTTATGAAGGTTCCACAGCATTACCTTTAAATAAGAGGAAGTTACATAGTCAAACAGAGGTTTAGCCATTTTGCTCAACTATTATGCTTACTCCACTTCTAATAAAGTCATCAAAGTAGTCTGACAATAATTACTATGACACAGTTCCAGCAATATTAAATTTTTATTTTCTTTTTTTAAAAGATTTTATTTATTTATTTATTTATTTGACAGAGAGAGACACAGCGAGAAAGGGAACACAAGCAAGGGGAGTGGGAGAGGGAGAAGCAGGCTTCCCACCGAGCAGGGAGCCCGATGCAGGGCTCGATCCCAGGACCCTAGGATCATGACCTGAACCAAAAGTAGACGCTTAACAACTGAGCCACCCAGGCGCCCCAACAATATTAAATTTTTAAAAGTTCATATGGCACCACAATATGCTAGTGGAATGCTACCCTGGTGCCAAAACTAGGATGCCAATGGGCAGTAAGGTAGAATTTAGAAAACAAGATCCTAAACAACTTCTGATTAACAACCCCATTAAAGTGTAATCCACATTCTTAAGTTTCTTTAAGTCATTGTACCCTCATCTCTGCAAGTAAAATAGAAGACTATGAAATTTATCTTATTTTTAAATATTTCATTTATTTATTTGACAGAGAGCACAAGCAGGGGGAGCAGCAGAGGGAGAGGAAGAAGCAGGCTCCCCGCAAAGCAGGGAGTCCAATGTGGGGCTTGATCCCAGGACCCTGGGATCATGACTTGAGTTGAAGGCAGACACTTAACCAACTAAGCCATTCAAGAGCCCTGAAGATTATGAAATTTATTAATTTTAGTCTATGCCGGTTTCAAGTCAAAAAGCCTGTCAATTAAATAAATGAAATCTGGAATACTTTCTCTTTCCTTTCACACTACCTAAATTACCCATTTTAGGGGCTTACCTCAAGTCTCTATCCCTCTAAGAAGGCTTTCCTAACTATTCCAGCCTGCTTCTCTCTTTCCCATATTTAATTTCTACACTATTAACTAACATATACTACTAGCTTGTCAGTTTGAGATTTAATTCTTCTTTTTTAAAAATTTTAAGTAGATTCCATGCCCAATGTGGGGCTTGAACTCATGACCCCAAGATCAAGAGTCGCATACTCCACTGCTAAGCCAGCCAGGAGCCCTGAGATTCAATTCATCTTTGCTAATGTCTATACCCAAAGTGTTTTCAGCAGATTAAACATTTTTTTGTATTTACTGAAATCATCTAAATGTGTTAACAGTCATCCCAGATTCCACCAATCCAAGAATCATTTCCAAGTACTGAAGATTCCCAGACTGTTCTTGCCTGGACATTCTCTATACCACTTTACTCTTCCTAACTGCCAAAGATTCTACAGTGTTTTACAATTTCTCAACCAGTGGTTCAAGCGGTATCACCCTAAGCAAGAAAGCAAGAGATACTGAGAAAAGAATACAAAAGTTTGGGGTATATGGTCCTAAAATATGTCAGAGGGGGAGAAAGTGGAAAACTGGCAAGTGTTCAGAAGTGAATGCAATCACATCCAAGTGATCCTGCTTAGGAATTTTTCTCACTACAAAAACATTTCTTTCCACACAGGAGAATCATTTTCAAGGAAAAAAAGCCTCTTCTACCATCCTGATCCTTAAGTGTTGGTACTAGTGATCTTTCAAACTCCGGAAAGAATAACTAACCTTTGAACCATTTATTTTCAGATGTGGAAAGGAAGGGCAAAAAAAATCAATGTGTATGCCACAGAAATATATGATGGTCTTAAATTTCCAAAGGTCTTTACAAGAGAAAACTATATTTGAGTGATGGCCACTGATGTATTTATTTAATTTTATTCTTATACTTTACACACATATCTTATAGCTACTTAATAAAAATTAAGCAGTCTCGGGCACCTGGTTAAGCGTCTCAGTCAGTTATGTGTCTGCCTTCGGCTCAGGTCATGATCCCAGGATCCTGGGATCAGGCCCCGCATCGGCCTCCCTGCTCAGCGGGGAGTCTCCTTCTCCCTCTGCCTCTGCCCCTCCCCCAATTCATGCTTGCACTCTCTCTCTCTCTCTCTCAAATAAATAAAATCTTAAAAAAAAAATTAAGCAGTCTCAAATGTCTTAATAAATCACTTTAAGGTCCCTGCCCCTCCAAGTGTGCTTTGCTTAATTATTTAAACCTATCTAGATTGAAGAATATAATTTCTATAATTTCTGTAATAACAAAGATAGGTACACTGTGTGTGGCAATAATTCAATTCCTGCTTTGAGATAAAATATTTGTTCAGAGAGAAAGCGCTCCCCAAATTAACCTTATAAGAATTCCCTTCTACTACTATACCTACATTCTTGGACCCTTCCATAGGCTGGCTGTTCTTAAAGTTCATTTTTTTATTTTTAAAATATTTTATTTTATTTACTTGTCAGAGAGAAAGAGAGAGCACAAGCAGGGAGAGAAGCAGGCTCCCCGCCGAGCAGGGAGCCCGATGTGGGACTCGATTCCAGGACCTGACCTGGGATCATGACCTGAGCCAAAGGCAGACGCTTAACCGACTAAGCCACCCAGGCGTCCCCTTAAAGTTTAGAATCATACTGGATAACCAGGTTTTAAGAAGTAAATTGTGGAAGATATTACAGTTTCAACTTCAGTTAAGGAAAGTAATTTCCTAAAGGCATAGTTGTGCTGTCTTACCACTGTTGTTATAGCACAACCCAAAAAAGAAATTAATCTACAGTGAATTTTTAGCAAGTCTTGGGAGTCAAATCAATTAAGTAATCTAAATCTCCTTCTCACAAAATATTTATATCCTCTACTGTTCTCTAGCAGCTGTCTGCCACTCTATCATCTGTCCTAGAACTGGAGGCAAAATGATAAATTCTGGATGCCCATTTCTTACTAATCTGAGAAGTATAAAGTTTACTACCATGCCTAAGTTAATGAACCAGTGACTGACAATTGGTATAGGTTAAGGATAAAAGAATGACTAGTCAAAGAGACACTGTACAATCTGTCTACTAAAACAGATATCCACCTGGATGTGTTAGGTCTTTCTGCACAAGCAAGTAGGCAGGTTATCACCACGAGGGTAGAAAATGCAGGTTTGTAAGGGCTTGGTCAAGACCTACGAGTGGAAAAGGAGTTTACAAGTCATAGGATCATTGTGCACCTCAAGTGTAGAATGATTCTCAGTAGAGGAACTATACACATTTTTGGTAAGACAATTTTTTATTGTTTCGGGACTGTCCCAGCACTGAAATCATCATAAGACAGCCCCTGGTTCTGCCTACTAAATACCAGTAGTCTGGGGGAGGGTAACAGCAGTCATTATGAAAACAACAACAACCAGCCTCGTTTATTTCTAACTGATGAGGGGGTGAAGAGGGTAGAGAAGGGAGTAGTAAATACTGCTGGCCAAAAAGGCAGAAAGACAAATCTTTGATGCTCTTAATGGAATCATACTCTTAAAAGATACACAGTTAAGAATGTAGATTAAATGCCTAGAACAGTGCAAGGCACACAGGTCATGAGTCAACAATGGTTCTTTTTCTAGGAGTCACCTGTTCCCAAACCAAGAACTTTTTCTACTACATTACTCATGATATCCTGCTTGACACTGCTGGCGTCACAGAAAAAACATATAGGCTTTGGAGCCAGAGAGACTGAAGTTTGGAATCTCAATTCAGGCAGCTATGTGGACACTTATTTCAAACCCCAGTCTCATTTCTAAAAAAGAAAGAGTAAGTATCGGGGTGTGACTAGAGTGAAAACTAATATATGTAAAGCACTGGCAAGTACTAACTGCTCACCAAAGAGAAGCCATGATCGTTCTCACTCCAGTGATACAAGATTTACTTTTAAGAGCAAGTACATCTGCTATGGGAAAGTTCAAGCTATCTGAAAGCTCTCCTTTATTAAGCTAAAATCTGGGGGTGCCTGGGTGGCTCAGTCAGTTAAGCGTCTGCCTTTGGCTCGGGTCATGATCCCAGGGTCCTGGAATCGAGTCCCATGTTGGGCTCCCTGCTCGGCAGAGAGCCTGCTTCTCCCTCTCCCCGTTGCTCGTGCTCTCTCGCTCTCTCTCAAATAAATAAAATCTTAAACAAAAAACCAAAATCTGCTTCCCTAGGACTTCTGTTTAGACTAGTACATTCCACTTTTTCCTCTCATGAAAACCAAGAATTAAACACTTCCATTTCCCCCACAAAATGGAGTTTCTAGATATATCTACTCTCCTGATGGCTTTCCTCTGAATTTGGTCTATTTGTGATGTTCCTTTTAAAACTCATTGAATGCAGTGCTCTGACCTTGATCACCAATACACAATACTTCAATTGATGTACCACAGAATTTTAAAGAAAAAATCCCAGTCCCTCATTAAAACAAACAAACAAACAAAAAAACCCCCACAAAAACAAAACAGAGTTTGTAGAGAGTGGGTGATAACGTCTGCCTTCAGCATGCTCTTTTGTTTAAAAAGATATTAAAATCAAATATTCAAATTCCAGAGTTTATCACTTTTAAGCATAGAGAAAGGAAGGCTAAAGGATAAATGATTACTTTATGAATGAAACCTACTAGGCTTTGTCAAGTTAGCATTAAACATGCAGTAGAAGTAAGGCTTATGATTCATACATAGAAAAGACATGTCAGTAGAGAACAGAAAATGCAAAGATATATTTAGCCTGATCAGTAATCCGATCGTTACCAAACTCATTTAGAAATTACCCAAGTACTCTCTGCAAAGCATTACCTGCATATCCAGTCCACAGGATACCAGGCTCTGAGGCCTTTGAGGCCGAAAAGCTACAGAGGAACAGATATTGGAATGTCTCTTCAGTGATCTGCTAACTTTCTTATTTTCCAAGTCTAGGATTTTAATTGCCCCGGAGTCATCAGCAGAAGCCAGCAGGTTTTCAGTTTCATTCAATGAGAGACAATTGATTTCTTCTTCATTCACATGAAAATGGTCCAAGGAACCTTTGAGGGATCTGACATCCAGTAAGCTAATGGTTTCTCCATGTGATGCATAGAGCTTGGTGGGGCAGGAGGGAGAGAATAAGACACTGGTAACATCATCAGCCCCTTGGAAGCGTGTATGTCCTAAAGGAGTCCCATCTTCACCCCAGGCCATGAGATCACCGCTCTCTGCTCCAGAAGCCACTAATCCTTCCTGACTTGCATTCAGGCAGAGAATAGGAGAAGAATGTCCACCAGTCCACTTGACTGCCATTATGGCCCAGGAGACTCTGTGAAGAGGAGGGGGGAAAAACTATAATCTCTTATTTATGAACCTGATGGTAGCAGACTAATGCAATACGCAGTATTTCATTTAAATATTTTTAAAAGATATCTAAAAAAACTTAATTTTAAAAAAGACATTTGAAGATCAAGTCTACAAAAGCTTAGTTGGACACAGGATTGTGGGGTACCTGGCTGGCACATGCATAAATAGGTTTTTTTTTTTTAAGATTTTATTCATTTATCTGACAGAGACAGACACAGCAAGAGAAGGAACACAAACAGTAGGAGTGGGAGAGGGAGAAGCAGGCTTCCAACACTGAGCAGGGAGCCCAATGCGGGGCTGGATCCCAGGACCCTGGGATCATGACCCGAGCTGAAGACAGACACTTAACGGCTGAGCCACCCAGGAGCCCCATAAATAGGCTTTCTTTGTAATCACAGACCCAGGCAAACCTGGTCTTCCAGCATTTGATGTTAAGCTCACATAAGAATAAACATAGGGGCGCCTGGGTGGCTCAGCTGGTTATCTGTCTTAGGCTCAGGTCATGATCCTGGGGTCCTGGGATCGAGCCCCATATCAGGCTCCCTGCCCAACGGAGCCTGCTTCTCCCTCTGCCCTCTGCCCCCCATTGTCTACCTCCCCCTGAAGTAAATAAATAAAATCTTAAAAAAAGGGAATAAACATTATATATTTAAATAGGAAAAATACTTTTTAAAAGAGCTGCTCAATCATCAGGTTATATCTTTTATCTGAACATTTTAGAGAAAGAGCTCTGGAGCTAGATTCTCTGGGTTTGAATAGCTTTACTACCTATTATTAGCTAGGTGACTTTGGGCAAGTTACTGAACTTCTCTGTGATTCATTTTCCTTCTCTATAAAATGGGGGGGTAATAATAATAGCATCATTTTATAGGATCATAGAAAATTAAATAATATATGTAAAGCACATATAATAGTGCTTGGTACATAATGAGTGTTCAACAAATATTACCACTATCACTTTCTCTATTTTTTAAATTTTATTTTTTTAAAAAATATTTTATTTGTTAGAGAGAGAGAGAGAGTGGGCGAGAGAGAGTGAGCAGGGGGAGCAGCAGAGGGAGAGGGAGAAAGCAGGCTCCCTGCTGAGCAAGGAGCCTGATGCGGGACTCGATCCCAGGGCACTGGGTTCATGACCTGAGCCGAAGGCAGACGCTTAACCGACTGAGCCACCCAGGCGTCCCTTTTTTTTTTTTTTTAAGATTTTATTTATTTGGGGCGCCTGGGTGGCTCAGTTGGTTAAGCGACTGCCTTCGGCTCAGGTCATGATCCTGGAGTCCCTGGATCGAGTCCCGCATCGGGCTCCCTGCTCGGCAGGGAGCCTGCTTCTCCCTCTGACCCTCCCCTCTCTCATGTGCTCTCTCTCTCTCTCATTCTGTCTCAAATAAATAAATAAAATCTTTAAAAAAAAAAAGATTTTATTTATTTGACAGAGAGAGACACAGCGAAAGAGGGAACACAAGCAGGCGGAGGGGGAGAGGGAGAAGCAGGCTTCCTGCAGAGCAGAGAGCCCGAGGCGGGGCTTGATCCCAGGACCCTGAGATCATGATCTGAGCCGAAGGCAGACGCTTAATGACTGAGCCACCCAGGCACCCTCTATTTTTTTTTTTTAAGATTTATTTTTTAAAGTAATCTCTACACCCAAAGTGGGGCTCAAACCCACAACCCTAAGATCAAAAGTCGCACGCTCCATTGACTGAGCCAGTCAGATGCCCCTCACTTTTCCTATTTTTATTAGGCTGGTCAAAGCGGCATCATAGATCTACACCAGTGATGCTCCAAGTTTGGCCTCCAAACCAGCAGCATCACCTAGGAACTTATAAATATAAATTGCCCAATACCACCCTGGACCAACTGAATCAGAAATGCTGGGGTTGGGGCCCACCCATGTGTTTTAAGAAGTCCTCTGGGTGATGCTGATGTACACTAAAATTTGAGAATACTACACCAATAATCATCCAGGGATTTGGTTAAAAATGTAGATCCTTGGGTTTTACCACTAGAGACTAATTCAGTACATTATTTAACTTTATTCTCAACACAACCCTTCTGTTTAGTATTATTCCATTTTAAAGATAAAACTTGAGTTTCAGAAATGTTAAATAATTTGATCAAAGTCATCTGGTTAGGATTTGTACATGGAATCCAATGTAAAGGGATCCCAAACTTTTAAATAACGAAGACCATTTTCTAACAATTCCACTTGACAATAGTTTTTAACTTGTTAGTATTCTCTGAAAGTGCAGAAAATAACCAAAAGCCACGAATAATTCATTACAGCTTTTAACTGTACTCAGGTATTTTTATTATTTTTTAAAGTTTATTTATTTATCTCTAGACCCAACATGGGGCTCAAATTCACAACGCTGAGATCAAGAGTCACATGCTCTACTGACTAAGTCAGCCAGGCACCCCACACTCACATTTTTTTTTTTTTAAGATTTTATTTATTATTTGACAGAGAGACAGTGAGAGAGGGAACACAAGCAGAGGGAGTGGAAGAGGGAGAAGCAGGCTTCCTGTCGAGCAGGGAGCCCGACGCGGGGCGCAATCCCAGGACCCTGGGATCGTGACCCAAGCCAAAGGCAGACGCTTAACGACTGAGCCACCCAGGCGCCCCTACTCCACATTTTTAATTACCTTATTACCCACTTACACTTAACAGTACTTATTGTACTTATGTACTTACGTACTTTTGTACTTATGTACAAAATTTAGACTTCCTGATATACTAGGCATCCCAGACTTATACAATGAAATTGCCACATAATTCTACCCTGCCTCAACTGTCTGTTGGGTAAAGCAAAAAAAGGAAATAAGGGCAATTTATATAACTCTAACTGTTCAGACAAAAGGAAGCAAGCAAATCTACCTGAACAAATTTAATGTTTCATTTCACAAGCCAAGGGAGAATTTCTCTAGTGAGAAACTGCCATAGTTACTTTCATATTTTCAGATATGATACCTGAATTCAATCCAATTGCACAGATAAATTTCCTAATATTGTTTTGAAAAATAATTTAAAATACTGGCAACCTGCCTAAAGTTTCTATTCCCGACACAAAGCTTATTTCCTCCCATTTTTAGGCACTTACACATACACAAAATAACTAACTAGACTGCTAAAAAAACCTCTAATCTTTCAGTAATCAAAGTAACAGAGGGGTGGGGGAGTAACAGAAACATGGTCACAAAATCATATACAGCAATTTTCATAAAGACAACAAAATGGGAAAGACAAAAATATACTTTATTTCAGCAGAAGCACTGAATTAGAATACAGAGGAAACTAATTTCGAGACTGAAGCAAGTAAGTTTTAAAGGAGAGGTCTGGAGAGGAAATGACTCAGAGAGAGGTAAAGACAGGGAACTCTGGTGGTTGGATTTTTGCTGACAAGTAATGAAATAGTAGTTAATTTTCTACCATAAAAAAGACTTTTGCCAAATGTTCAAGATAAACCAAGAAAAAAGGACACTTAGCACAATTTAAAATGAAAGGTATTAACAATATTTAGGCCTAGGGACTGCCATCTGTGGTGACTACTGACTTGTCATATAATATAGATAATATACTACCTTAAAATACGAAGTTTGTAGTAACCATTGAAAAAGCCACTTAAGTTACAAATAATTTTAACTCCTTTCTTTAGAGATCTGATCACTTATTTCCTACATTAGTTTTAGTTTTTCTACAGTGAAATCAACTTTAAAGTCCTGAAGTCTGCCCTCTACAGCTTTAGGATTTTGTACGCATAGAGGTTTTGGATCCCTACTGGGATTTTAGGTTTTATCTAAGACGAGAATGAAATAGGGTTTCTTGTACTTCTGTTTCTCCATCACATTATCTACCCACAGGGGACCTAAGTAAATGCTGACTGGCAGACAAAGTTTTAGTATTTTCTTCTGAATATAATTTTTTTTAATGGAAAAGATTAATTCAATTTTAAAGACACATTTGGTTAAGCTCACCCCAAAGTGTGAGAAATTAGGCAATAAATGGATTTTGTACTTAAAGGAACTATTATAAATAATAACACTGTTCCCATAAAATTTTCCATAATGGAACCAGTAGTATCTATTAATCTCACAAGAACAAGGTCAGCTCTACCTTCACCTCTTAAACAAATTAAACTTCTAATCTCTACATCACATGGATAATATTTACTCATCACCAACCTAGTCAGAAAAATAAAAATGGAGACCCATTATCTTATGCAGACTATTAATCGAGTCAACCAGAGCCCCCCAAATCACATGTTTAGTCTACAAAATTAAAATTGTTATTACTTAAAACATACCCAAAGACCACCATGAAAAACTATTAAACAACAGACTGCTGTGGTAGAAGGCAGTGGGAAAAAAAAATGTAATTGAATCTGGGTTAAATGAAAACAATCTTTCAGAAATGAGTTGTCAAGCCACTGTTTCTTGTTTTTCTCCTACTGGGACTGGAAAGCCTACCAGAAATAGGTAAGTGCCATTATCTCCATATTCAGGTATCAGGTCAACAAACTTCTCATAGGCAACGTCTAAAGGGTAATGTCTAAACAGCAATTAATCATGTCCTACTGTGAATTACTCTAATTAGATAATAGTTTCCTTCAACACCTAATGAGATCGTGGAGTGGGCAGCAAAGGGTGGGGTATCTTGAGAGCAGTTTTAGAAAGGGTGGAGGGCAAAGATGGAAGTTCTGAACAGTCAAAATGCAAGGGGGAGGGGCAAGGTCAGGAGGGTGATCTGTAGAAAGAAAAGGACCTAGTCATAAAGAAAATCTTTTGCAGGGCACCTGAGTGGCTCAGTCGGTTACGCATCCGACTCTTGATCTCAGCTCATGTCTTCATCTCAGCGTGGTGAGTTCAAGCCTTGCACTGGGCTCCACACCGAGCATGGAGCCTACTTAAAAAAAAAAATAAAAAAAAGATTTAAAAGAAATTTAAGTGCCTTCCCAGACAAACCTAGACCTCCTTCCTTGGATGTCCTATAGTTGAAAGTTGAAAAATGAATAATAAAACTCCCTAGCCTGAGATTACACTACCATTCAAATAATATAAGGTAATCATTATCACTATAGTAAGTATAAGTCAACTTTTCTTCACATGTTTGGGTTTTCCAAAGTTGGTCTTGATGTGGAGAAGCTGGATAGCAACCAAAATGATTGAAGGCCTGTGGCATCAGCACTAGTAAGGAAAGAATCTGGGTTACTAAGCTGGGAGAAAAAAACATCTGGGAAGAAGGAACTAGCAAATAATAACTAAACACCATTTACCAGAGAGTAGAGAAGATAGTTGCTGTTGTTTTTAATGGAGAACTAGAAATGTATTATACACGGCAGGGGAACTACTGGAAAGATCTCTTACTACATAAAGGCAAGACAGTGGAGTTAACTACTAAGGAAATCTGTGAACCCTATAATTATCTCAGAGTTGTTTTGAAAATTATATAAAACCCGAGTAAAGGACCCTACCAGTGCCTTGTTCACATGATGGTTAGTATTTTCTCTCACTAAGCATTCTTTAAAGGCTGTCAGAAAACTTTTGGCCACCTAGGAAAATGCAGTATGACCAAATAATGCTTAAATTCTTTCTCTTCCCAGAAATCATCTATAATTACAGCCTTCACATCATTCTCCCTATTGGAATGTCTAATTATATAAAAACACGCTGCCTTGATCCGCCCACTAATCGGGTTAGTAGGAAAGACTGGGAAAGGCTACATTTTGTCCAAAAAATGCAGTACTTAATCAGCAATTACACGGCACTTTTAGGCTATCCAAACATTTGGGCGGGGGGTGGGGGTGATTCAAATGACGACCTTACTTGCCGAATACACGGTAGGACACATGTTCTGATTAAGTACCACTACCAATAAAGAACAAAAGGGTCTGACCAGGAGAAGACGACCTCAGTTGCCGAAAGTAAAGGAAGAAGATCCAATTCAAGCCGAAGGTGGCGGAGCTGGGAACTGGCTAGCAAAGAGAGGGAAGTTTCATGCGTTAGGTTGGAGTCTGAAGCAGAGACATGACACAGGGAAACCTCACAGGGAAAGGGGCCCAAGAAGGCCGACGCGAGAGCACTAGATCAAAAAGAGGAAAAGGCACCAGAGGACAGCCACAAAGCCACAGGGGCCAGCCTCATACCTGCGCTTCCCGCTTCCCTCCTCGGCGCCTCGTGATGACCTCACCCGTGGGCGCCCAATCCCATGTAGGGTTGGGCGCGGGGCGCCTCAGCCAAACAGTCACATCCGGCGCCGAGAGGAACCGCGAGCGAGCTGGGCGTGCGCCCTTGCTTCGTGCCCTCAACCAGTATGGCGGAGCCACGGGCGCGCCGCGGGGAGGCCGTGCGAGTCCGGCGGTTTCGACGCCCGCGCTGAGCCGGGGAGGAGGGGCGGGGGACGCCCGTGCGGCCCGTGCGTCTGCCCTCAGTGAGGCGGGGCGCGCGGCGGACGCCCCCGGGCAGGGGCGGGAGTGGTGGCGGGCCGGTGGTTGGCTGTGAAAGGGGCGGTGAGCGAGGTGCTCCGGTCTCAAGGCGAGGCTTGGCCTCCCCAGCAGAGACGGGGGGAAGCGGCGGCGGCAGCGGCGGCCCTTGGGCCGGCTGGTGAGGCGATGGCGGCGCCAGCCCCGGGGCCTGGGGCAGCCTCCGGCGGCGCTGGCTGTAGCGGCGGCGGCGCGGTCGGCGGCTCGGGCTCCGGGTCCGGATCCGCGGGGGCAGGGGGCCGGCTGCCCAGCCGGGTGCTGGAATTGGTGTTCTCCTACCTGGAGCTGTCCGAGCTGAGGAACTGCGCCCTGGTGTGCAAGCACTGGTACCGCTGCCTGCACGGTGATGAGAACAGCGAGGTGTGGCGGAGCCTTTGCGCCCGCAGCCTGGCAGAAGAGGCTCTGCGCACGGACATCCTCTGCAACCTGCCCAGCTACAAGGCTAAGGTGAGGGAGCCCCGGGCCACGCCGCTGCCCCCAGTCCCGCTTCTCTGCGCCGCTCTCAGTCTCAGTGCTTCTCATCTAAGCTCTGAGTCAGACGTCTCACCTCACCATCCCGCCTTTGCACGGCTGCAGTCAGTACCTTACCTACCTCACCTCCCCCCTCCGTAAAGATCCTCTTCTCTTTCAAGTTCTGCTCCTTAACCCACCCCACTTCCGAGATGCACTTTTTAAAGGACCAGATAGTTTGCAATTCCTGGTTTCCACCACTCATTCCACTTTCCACAGCCTTCTCCCAAAAAGATAGACCCCCCCCACTCCCCATTATTGTACCTTTCAGTACTCTTACCCTATTTTTTATTAGATCATCTCAGCTGCCTTAACACCGGCTTAGTTTCTAAGATCTTTGCTTTCATCCCACATTCACCTCACCTTTTCCAGGCTCTGATTTTTAACTGTTTCCCCCCCCCCCCTCATTTTCTCCTAAGTTCTCTAATTCCCTCCATTATGTTTCAGGCTTATAAGTGAGTGTGGTCCTAGACATTCTGCTAACTTTCAAGATACAGGCTTTAATAGAACATTCCCCACTTCCCCCATGGGCACCACTTAACCGGTCCTAATGCTGCCTTGTGCCACTATTATTGGCTACTTCCCTGCCAACTTTTTCATAGTTCCACCTTGGTGGTGTGCCTCTTCTGTTCCATTTGTCATCTAACGTGTTGATTGCAGTTTTGCTGCCTTTTTGCCTCCTAGATTCTTGGGCATATTCCTGCCTTCTTCATATACAGATAAAACTGTCAAGTAACAGGTAATGGTAAGGTTGAGAAGATTCTTCAGGCAATATAAACAAAGGCCTGAAGCTTGAATTCAGTTGGATGGATAACAGCTATTCAGTATAGCAGTCACTGGGAGCATATATGAGAGAGGATGAAGTCTGCCCTAGAATGTGGTAAACATAAAAAAATACATTAATAACTAAAAAGGGTAGATACCCTTTTTCAAACTGGACTGCCAAGGAGGGGAGTCAGAGTAAGAAGTAAATTTGTTTTTTCATGTGAAATAGATGTAAAATTTATTCTTCTGTAACAAAGGAGGTTTTAGTTTAATATGGTAAGGAATATTGCCATTATCTATGTCAATTATTAAATTTTCTATTAAGTGAAGTAACATGTTAATTTACTAGGACAGTATTTGTACATGGTGGATGCTCAGTGGATACTAGTTGTAATTTATGTAGTAGAGCGCAGAACATTGCAGTTTTGTCCTGCTTTGCCTAAAAACAGGTAGTCTTCATACATTTTATTTAGTTTTAATTTTTTTTTTTAAAGATTTTATTTATTTATTTGAGAGAGAGAGAATGAGAGAGAGCACATGAGAGGGGGGAGGGTCAGAGGGAGAAGCAGACTCCCTGCCAAGCAGGGAGCCTGATGCGGGACTCGATCCAGGGACTCCAGGATCATGACCTGAGCCGAAGGCAGTCACTTAACCAACTGAGCCACCCAGGCGCCCTAGTTTTAATTTTTTTATAAAGTTTATTGTTTTTACTTATTTTCATCTGAGAACTTTTTGTAATTGGTCTGTAATAGATACATTTACATGAGTAAAGATTCATATAACAATATGTGTTAGGTAATGTGTTCATGTGAGTCAACATGCAAAAGAAGGAAAATAATATCAGCAAAATGTCTTCCTTTTGCCCTTGTCTGCCAGCCACCCAGTTTAGTTTCCCTTCTTGGAGGCAACCTGTGTTACCTGTTTCTTTTGTATCCTTCCAGAGATATTTTAGGTTTCTTAGGTTTTTAACACTTTATATGTCTTTCTACCACACGCATGATAGGTATTGTAAACTTGTACTAATCATATGTTCGTTCAGATGTTGCAGAACTTTTCTTGAATGTCTTGAGAATAAAAAGATCAATTCAAAAGAAGTCAGATAGCCTAGTAGAAAGTCCTCAGTCAAGTAGAGGAGAAGAAAAATGTATAGAAATAACTAACACATGATAGAAATTGCTCCTGTTAGAGATATTATAAATAGTATATACTGGAAGTATATATATTCACACACACTAGAATTTCAGTGAAAGGAGAGATGTACAAATTGAGTGGAGGCTTGGAGAAGGTTTGAGGTTAGGGTTATATTTGAGCTGAATTTTAAAGATAGGGAGGATTTGAACATTTTACTAAGAAGAAATACCCTGAGCAAATGCAAGACAAGAGAAAAGCAAAGGCTTTGTATAGCATATATTTTTATTTTAAAAAATGTGAGTGCCAGGCACTGTGCTCAGTTTTGCAAATGCAATGGTAAATAAAAACAGACACAAAATTCGAATGGATGCCTTGCTTATAGAGCTTACAGTTTGGTGGGGGGTGGGGATAGATATTAATCAAATAATCACAGTTATAAAATTGCATCTGTGGTAGGTACTATGAAGGAGAGGTGCACAGTACTCTGAATGTCAGTAATGGAGGATTTGACCAAGGTAGGGAGGTCAAGGAAGGCTTTCTCTGAGGATATAGTACATGAAGTAAAACCTGAACAGTAAGGCCAAGGGGAGAGAAAAGAGCCTTCCAGGAGGGAACTTGATGAGTATGACGGATAGAAAACACATCAGTGTGGCTGGATCATAGAGAGCAAAGGTGAGACAGGTTTGAGAGAAGATGGAAGAGGTGGACTGACGCCAAACTATAGGGAAACCATTTTGAATTGTAAGCAAGAGGGGGTTAGGAGTGTGGGGATTGGTGGTGTGATTTTTTTTTTTGCATTTTTAAGACCTTATTTCTGACTTCGGTATAGAGAACAGATTGGAGGAGGACCTTAGAAATATGGGTAGATCAGTTAGGAAGTGGGTAGTGTAGGAGATGGGGAAGAAATTTAGGAAAGATTTAGGAAGTAAAATCTACAGGACTTGGCAATAGATTTGAAATAGCGGTGAGGGAGAGGGAGGTGCTAAGAATGACTCCTAGATATCGCACTTATATAATGGAAATCACCTGGGCTGGATTTAGGAGGAATAGCCGTGAATAAAATTTTGGTAGAGTAGAATTTACAGTGTTTTTGAGACATCCGAGAGATTTCAGATGGGCAGCTCTTAAGAGTTTGGAGCATAGAGGAAAGCCTAAAGATATAAAAGGGTCTAGTGAGATTGAATTGAAGAAGTGGGGAATATGATTGTAAAGGTAAGTTGAAGCTAGATATATCATGGATGTTCTTGGCTTATAGGCTTCATTGTATAGTTTGGGCTTTGTTCTACCATCGTAAATCATAGACGTTTGAACAGAGGAGTGACAAATAAGAGTTGTGCGGCCAAAACATGAATTGGACAGAGCAGGGCTTAGTACATATGCCAGAGGTACTTAAGACCTGAACAAATATGTAGGGGAGAGAAGAGGATGTCTGGGAGAGCTATAGCAGAGAACAAATTCACACAGGTGGACAGCTGACTGGGAGTGAATGAGATGAAGAAGAAAGTCTAGATAGGATTTCCAAGGAGGCTGTGTAACTAAGAGGAGGATGGGAACAGACATGGGATAGCATAAAACTGGAAAATATTGTTGCCAGTCTATTTAGGATTTGTCTTCCTCTTAAAAGTTCATATTTTATATGTCATCAAGGAACTTCAATTATTTCAGTCATACTTAGCATCTAACTATAACATATTCTCTAATTTTTAGATCTAGATCCTAAAGTAGGTCTTAAAGTTGTTTGTTATAATGTAAAATTTATTTATTTATTTTTTTAAATTTTATTATGTTATGTTAGTCACCATACAAT